GCAGGAATGAAGACTGTGAGGAGCAGAGCTGAGCCCACAAGCACTAACTCCACCACTGACAACAACCACACACTAAACAGGCATCATGTGAAGCCCTGAAATGGAAATAACAGTTGTTGTCTCATCTGTCTCTCCGGCAGCCCATCCAGAAAAGATGAGATCATCATGGCTACAATGTTAACTCCGAGGTGCAGAAGAGGACGGCCCAAGGACGAGGCCAGCCTCACTGACGCTGAGAGAGACAAGGGGAGTGGTAGCATCACAGGGTTTTTGGAAGAAACTGTCCATGTGAAAGGACTTTGCCTAAACTCATGAGAAGGGGCATCCTAGAACTTCCCCTTCTCTAATACTGGCTTATTGCAAGAATGCTAAATGGAAACTAGAAATATCAGAAAGAAATCCAAAAGAGCAAGATTTGCGGGAGTGGGGTTTCTTGCTTAAAAGCCCAGGACACAAATCAGGACACATAGCTATGAGGAATCTTACCCCCAATTCAAAACTTGGGGCATCAACCAGGACCTCTCCATTCACCATTTCTCTGGATACCCTGTCCACTGAAAGAACTGTGCACAGTACAGTAGTTCAAAAAGGAACTATTGTGTTAGGAGATCAGAAAAGAGTATAGTAAAATAAATTGGCTTATATCTTTGCAAATTACAGATGTCGGATGTAAACTAGGAGCTGTTAAATTTAGACTTTAAATTTGGAAAAACTTGGTCATTTGGAAACATCAACTATCAGAAATAGGCAGAGCTTGTTGCAAGAGGAAGCGCAGACTGCCCTCTAGGCTGCGTCAGAAAAATATGGCCTATACCATAAAGCAGAGGTCCCCAACCCCCAGGCCATGGACCGGTACTGGTCCATGGCCTATTAAGAACCAGGCTGCACAGCAGGAGGTGAGCAGCGGGCGAGCAAGCGAAGTTTTATCTGTATTTGCAGCCACTCCCCAACGCTAGCATCACCGCCTCAGCTCCACCTCAGATCATCAGGCATTAGATTCTTATAGGAGCACTGGTCCCTGGTGCAAAAAAGGTTGGGGACCACTGCCATAAAGGATGTACTGTTCTTGCTCCACTGCACTGCTGTCTCAATCTGATACAAAATGGCACAAGCCCGTGCCATCAGTTGTCCCTTATCCCTTCAACATTTATAAAAGTTTAGACATGTTGTATCTCTACATGGAAACTTGAAGGTTAAGACAACTTTTATGCACATGCTCAATCAAAAAAAAACATAGCTATTACTCACAAAACAAAGAAACAACCTGGCAGCCTAAAGTTAAATAAATGGAAACAAGATGCTGTCCGAAGCAGAGAATAACTGAAGCTTGTAAATTGATCTATAATATTTTAGGGGAATTTAGAGAAAGTATAATATTCCTTGCACAAACAAATGCATAGCCTCGACGAGGACACATCCATCATTCACCCATCAAATGGTTATATGGCAGCACAAGGTATAACATGATTAAAGGAATAAAATCAACATTTATTAAGGACCAGCCATGTGGCATTTAACATTTAGCACCATATTTAATTCTCCAGAAACCCTGTTTCACATCACTCTTCATATTTTATAGATGCAGTAACTAAAGCTGAGAACTTAAGAAACTGTCCTAAGTCAGACAGATAGTAAAGTGGCAGTAGCGGGATTTAAGCTTACCCCATCTAACTGCAAAGCCCAGTTGCATGCCTCAAATGTCAAAGTGAATAATGGCACAGGTAATAAATGTTTCAGGAACTCAGAGAAGGGATGATCCCTCTGCATTATAGCGGCTAAGGAATGAATCACTGCCATCATTAAAATGTCAGTGCCTTCACATCAAGCTCAATTCTTTCTTTCCCGCTAAATGTGAATCCTAAACGAGACTCCATCCAACCTCTGCTTCAAATATCTCCAGCAACGGGGAAATCACCTCCCCTGACCACACATTCATGTCGTAACAACCTGATTATTGGCAAATTCTTCTTCATACAGAGTCGACATCTGTTTGCCACCATGCCACAGCATCCGATCCAGGAGCGACCTCGCCAGAAACAATGTCTGAACTACAGCATTGGACCGTTCAGCAAAGATTTCACTGCCTGTCGCCTTGGCTCGGGCACTGTAGGCACCACCTGAACAAAAACTAATTCCTCCCACAAAAGCCAGATCCCTCTGCTCCTCACTCTCACCAGAAATATTAATTCCACATGATGTCTACTCCCTCAAGTCATCTCTTCTAAATCAAATTTTATACTCGTTCATGTGATTGGCCAAGTCTCGGTCACATGGCCCTTAATGCAAGAGAATCCGGGAGAGGAAGACTGTGAACTCTACCTTAGGAAGGCAAGAGTCATAAGAAATGGGCATTCCCTTAACACGGGCACTCAAAAGACACCAAGGATCTGCCACGTACATGGCAAATGTCCACTACAATCCATCATTTGGCTGCCCACTATCTTTTGTAAAAGGAAGATGAGGCTTAACTCTCCCCGGAACTGAAATAACCCAATCTCATCTGTTACTGCTTTCGACTCCGAGAATGGGATGTCTCGGTGATGCCCATTCCACCTCTAAGTTAGTCACATTCCCAAACAGGTATTTTATAAACTGTAGACTAAACTGTAAACTTCACCACCAACAACATACCACATATAAAATAGCAGAAGGCAGAAAAGAGAGAAACAGGAAATCTGTTAAAATATGCAAATACACACATCACAGAGCAAGGAAGGAAATATAAGCAGATAGCTCAGTCCTCATTTCTGAAATTGGTCACCTGACTGGAGCTGGAGCTGTCTCTATTCCATCCTCTTGCCTTCGGCCAGTGCAAGTGAAATAAATCTTGAGACTTGGTGGATGTGAACCTTAATGATGTTGTGGGACTATCATCCTTGCCCTGGACTACCTACCTCTTCGCTTCTCATTATATGAGTGAAAACGGATGTCCTTCATTTGTTTACACCTCTGCTTTTTGGTCCAACTGGTGCAGGGCTACAGGACAGGCCTTCTCCAGCTGTAGATTCTCCTCTATTCTGCTGATGGTAGAATGCAGAGTATGGTTGCCAGCTTTAGCAAATAAAAAGACAGAACTCCCAGTTAAATTTGAATTTCAGATAGACGATTTATTTTAATATGTCTCATTCAGTATTGGAATATGCTTATATTAAAAAACGACTTGTTGTTCATCCGAAACACAAATTTAACTGGGCATTCTGTATTTTAAACTGGCAACTCTAGAGAGTGAAAGAATTAGCGCAAGGCTCCTCAGACATTAGGAATATGTGTAAACGTTCTATTCAGAGAGGATAAGAGCTGAAGGCAGCAGAGGATCCAGCCAATATATATTAATGAATGAGTCACCCCATTTACAAGCCTAAGCTGAAACTAAGGGCATGGTAGAATGGTTTGAGGAAGGTATCTGTTCCCTGTGCTTCCCCATCTCCAAACTAAATGCCTTATAAATCCCCCAGAGAAAGGACACTCCACCGTGTCACCCCTACTCTTCCCTGGTCTCCCTGCTTCTCCAAGTCTGGGGGAAACAACAGATATTTGCTTGAAACCCAATTGTGATAGTTATGAGTTGTGTGATCTTGGTCACATTAATGTGTCTGAGTCTCAACTGTCCATTTGTAAAGTGACAGTAATGGTATTTCCCAAGGTTATTATGGGGGGGAAGGGAACCTCAGATACTGACAACCGTGTGTACGTACTCTACCTCAGCAAAACGAGCTTGATTCCTAACGTGAGAGCAGGAAACCTCAGCACCCCAAGAGAAACCATCCTTCCACATCTACATCCCCATTGGCAGGTCTCAGCCTCCTTTTGGTGGTAGAGCAGAAAGGGCTCTTGATTTGTGCCTGCTCTTAAGTGGGTTGCTGCTCACATTTTAACATGGAATGGAATGGAATGGGATGGAATGGAATGAAATGGAATGGAAACTAACAGAGAACACTGTATCTCATAAGGATAGACATTGTTTCTTCAAACTTTTGAGTCACTTGTATGCATGTATGTTTGTGCTCACATACTCACACATATATGTGTATGTGCATTTCCTCCTGTGGTCTATAGCCATAAAGGAGCATATGCTCAGTGAATGCTCAGCGTAACAAATCTCCCCCACTCATGTTCCTGATAGGCCTTTAACAAACTGCCCTAACTGGAATAGATGTGATCCCCTCCACCCCCAGCTCCAGACAAGGCACCATGGTGGAGAGTTCATCCTGCAAGCCAGGACTTCAGAGTTCAGGCCTCAACTTCACCTCTAGCAAAACAAAGAGCACCTCTGGGAGAACTATTCATCAAAAGACAGGTCTTCCTCTCCCGCTGCTGTTCTTTCTCCTGTGCTCCAGAGCTGAAGCCGGTGAGTCTCAGGGTCCTTATTCTGGAAGCTGCAGGATCAGCTCCTAAAACAAAGTGAGTCAATATAGCTGACTCTTAAACAGGAGCACAGTATCTCTCTCTCTTCTCTCAAGAGTCCAGCATGAAGTTTCCACTGGGGATGTGCCCACCCATTCTCTGCAGCCTATGGGAGTTCCCAGAAATAAGGAACCCCATACTGATTGGGAAGAAGCCCAGAGGAGTTGGGAGAAAAAGGGGTATCTCCTCCAATATGTGTGTGCATGTACATAAAATCCTATGTCCTCTTCATCTTCCGAGCTTTGGGCTACACATTACCTTATATTTTGGCTGTTTTGGGACACAGTCCATGGGCTCTGGAGAAAGTCAAGCCAGGAACCTGGAGAGCTTGTCTTGCATGGTGACAGAGGAGGGTTGAGGCAGGGGCAGAAGGGGAGTAGGGGAAATCTGAGGTAAAAAATACCTGAATGTCATCTGAGGCCAGTTGGCTATTGTGCCTGAAAGAAGGGATGAGAATTTATAGGGGATGTCGTGGCTAGAGAAAGCAAATAATAGGGACACCTGAGAGAAGATGGCAGAATATAGGATGAGGATGTGATTCAAGAGAAGCCTCTCTCAACTTTAACCCAGCTCGTGAGTTCTCTGAAGAGACTGCTGATGCCCTAAGGTTGTCTGTTCCAGGGGAGATCATCAGGGGCCCAGAGTGCAAGCCTCACTCCCGACCTTACATGGCCCACCTGGATGTTGTCACTTCCCAGAATAACCTGAAGAGTTGTGGAGGTTTCCTGATAAGACAGAACTCTGTGCTGACAGCCGCTCACTGTGAGGGAAGGTGAGACAACAGGGTCCTGTTTGTCTCCAAATGGGAGGTAAATATCCAGGGTAGCAACCAGGACACAAATGCAGGGGGGCCTGAGTAGGGGCTTCTGGGCCTGGGTCACCTTAAGGAGAAGCAAGACTTGGGCTTAATGAAATTGTTCCCATAATTGAATCCTACAGAAGAACAGGAGGCTCCATCCAAGCATCCCTCCTCTATAAGTAGATCCCTCTCCCCAAATACAACACAAGATGCATGACTCACTCTCCAGAGCCCCATCCAGTTCTCTAGGTCCTTTCCTTTATGCCCTATTCAAGAACACTGGCCTTTAGTCCTCAGGATCCTGAACCTGTCCTTTCCATGGGAGGCAGAGAATAGAGTCCACCTGAGACCCCATCACTTCCCCTTCTCTCTGATATCTCTTGCTCCAGAGAGCTGGCCCTCACATAGGGCTCCCTGAATTAGAAACTGCTAACCCTGTCCCCTGGGTCCTCCATGGTTTGCTCAGTCCCTAGCTGTTTCCAAGGGTCTTTGAAATTATCTCTGTTCCTTGGGAAAACTTCCTTGAGTAAAATCTAAGCCCCCCCAAATGCCACAGAGGCCCAAGAAAAGGGGAGTGGGTAGGGTCCTGTGACCTAGTGAGAGACTCCAGTCCACTTTTCTCAGAATGGCACATCGCAGGAGAAACCCCAAGCTGTCACTGTTTCTCCTTGACCTTCCTTCTCCCTCACAACAGGTCTATAATTGTCACCCTTGGGGCCCACAACATTACAGAGAAAGAAGACACATGGCAGAAGCTTGAGGTCATAAAACAATTCCCTCATCCAAAATTCGATTACACTCTTACTCATCATGACATCATGTTACTAAAGGTGACAACATCTTTCTTCCCCCTCTTCACTACCTGTTCTCTAAGGCTTTTCATTCAGATCCCCATTGCCCTGAAATTTCCCCAACCTGCCTCTGGACTGTACCCACCTCCAACTCACCCCTCTGGACATTGCTCTAATGTGAAGCGATTTGTGCTGTCCCTCCCTGACTGCCTCCAACTGCATCATAATCCATTTCTAGCACTGATAACTCCTCATTCCATTCACAGTTGAAGGAGAAAGCCAACCGGACCCTGGCTGTTGGAGACACTCCCCCTTCCATCACAATTCAACTTCATCCTACCTAGGAGAATGTGCCAGGTGGCTGGCTGGGGAATAACAGAAATGGACAAATCAGGCTCCGACACTCTGCAAGAGGTGAAGCTGAGACTCATGGATCCCAAGGCCTGCAGACACTTCAAAATGTTTGACCACAATCTCCAGCTGTGTATGGGCAATCCTAGGAAAACAAAATCTGCATCTAAGGTAATCCTTAGACTAGGGTTCTTCTCCACAAATCACTCTTCAGGGTCCAGACATCTCTTAAAAGAGGATGGGGTCAGAAAATTGTCAGGCAATGCCAGGGTTTGAAGTCATAGGACTGAGGAAACTGGAATTGTCCTTCTGAGGATCTATTCTCCCTTAGCCCTGTGCAGTCTCTGACCATCCCTCTCAGTCTGCTAAATAGGATACAAGGGGTAACAAGAAGGAAAGGAAGAAGAGGCATCAGACTAAGATGTATAACCCCATGAGGAGCCAGGACTCCTGGGTCTGACCCTAGGTCAGACTTTGATTCAGAGTTGGGACCCACAAGCATGAGTGAATGATTTCCCTGGCTCACCTTCTGTTCATTCTCATTCTCTCTCTGTCTCTCTCTCTCTCTATCTCTCTCTCTGTCTCTGTCTCTTTGTCTCTCTCTCTCTGTCCCTCTCTGTCTCTGTCTCTGTCTCTCTCTCTCTGTCTCTCTCTCTGTCTCTGTCTCTCTCTCTCTCTCTCTCTCTCTCTCCACCCCCACTCCTACACACACACAGGGAGACTCAGGGGGCCCTCTTCTGTGTGTTGGAGTGGCCCATGGCATTGTCTTCTATGGACGGAAGGATGTAAAACTCCCTGTTGTCTTCACCCGGATCTCCCACTACCGGTCCTGGATCAATGAGGTTCTGAAGGAGAACTAACCCCAGAGCCTGAAAAGGAAATATGAATCTGGACCTGAGTAGGTTCTCTGTGTCATGCGCTCTGGAGCTGTCTCTGGTTGGTTCCTGCCACATCCCTGGACTTCAAAAAGTTTTCTCCAGGTCACAAAACTCTCAGTAAACCTCAATAAAGACTGAGGTTCCAGACAGCAGTGTGTGTCTCCTCTCTCGTCTGCTCTCTTCTCCTAGCACATAGCAAACTGATGCCCAGCCCAGGCAGCCTATAAGCTTTGAAAGAGGTAGTTCTATGGGTGTGTGTGACAGATAGAGGTGGGGGGCGGGGGCGGAGCGGGGAATAATGAAGAAAAAATAAGGAAAGAAAGAAGAGAAAGGGATTCCCCGGAGAGGCAGAATCCATATTTCCAACTTGTTTAAGAAATTACACCTTGCCTTAATTATCAACCCTATACCAATTCAGATTTATATTTAGTAATATTCAGAATCACTAAAAACATTTTGAAGTGCAAACAAGATGTACAATGTTTATAGCATCCCTGACCTCTCCCCAGCTGATGTCAGTAGCAACATCCTCTCTCCACCACCAAGGTGTGACAACCAAAAACATCTCCAGGAATTGCTAGATGTCCTCCAGGTGGGGCAAGAATCACCCTTAGTTGAGGGCCGAGGGTTATATAGATACAGAAAAGGGTTATACAGGATACAGAAAAGGCAGTTGGTACCACACAGGGCCCTCCTCCCAGTCGACCAAGATAAGAAAAGATCTACCATATGTGGAGCTTTAATCTGAGAGGCAGATTTCCTCTCACTCATTGCTGCAAAACAGATAGCTGGAGCAGATAAAAGGAGGATTGCATTACAAGTTCTGCACAGCAACACCCCTCGCCACAAAGAGCTGCACCCAAACCAGCAGGAAGTTGAAAGCCTAGAGCCTGCTCAGCACAAACACTTGCCAGTTGAGAGACTGGCTGAAGGAGCGAAAACAGGGCAGGACAGGGACAGACACAACAAGAGCCTGCAGCTGATAGCACTCCTCGCTTCTGAGGGTATGGTGAATCCCTTCCATCAAGTGAACTCTTTCTAGGAAGCTGTCTTTGAGAAATAATCAGAGATATGCACAAAGATTCATGAATAAAGATTTTAACCTCAGCATTTTTAATAATAAAAAGACTGAAATCCTAGCCATGGAATAAAGTTTAATAATAAATTCATCTGATTGAATATTTTGAACTCAAAGTTCATTTTCAAAAACATTTAATGGTGTGCGAAAATTCCAAATAATGTAATGCTTTTTAAAACAAAAAGTGTTGGCGTAGATATGGAGAAAAGGGAACCCTCATACCCTGTTGGTGGGATTGCAAATTGGTACAGCCACTATGGAAAACAGTCTGGAGGTTTCTCAAAAAATTAAAAATCATCTACCTTTTGACCCAGCAGTTGCACTTCTGGGTATTTATCCAAAGAAAACCAAAACAATAATTTGTAAAGATCTATGCATCGCTATGTTCATGGAAGCAAAATTTATAATAGCCAAGATATGGAAGCAACCTAAATGTCCATCAACAGATGACTGGATAAAGAGGTTATTGTTCATATACGCAATTCAATATTACTCAGTTATAAAAAAAAATGAAATCCTACCATTTGCAACAATATGGATGGACCTAGAGGTTATTATGCTGAGTGAAATTAGTCAGAGAAAGATAAATACCATAGGATTTCACTTATATGTGGAACCTAAAGAACAAAAAAAAGCTAATCAAAAACAGTCTCACAAATATAAAGGACCATCTGGTGATGGCAAGATGGGAGGGGAGTTGAGGGACTGGGAGAAAGAGGTGAAGGATTAAAGAAGTATAAATTAGTAGTTGATAGATGGTCACAGGGATGGGGAGTATGGCATAGGGAATGTAGTTAGCATTAATGTAATGGCTAGGTGGAGAGCCAGAGGAGAGAAGAAGCAATTAGGGGGATAGTTTTATAAACTATATAAATGTCTAACCAATGTACTGTATACTTGAAACGAATAACAAAATGAAATTTAAAAATAATCTCCATATAGCAGAATCTCAATTTTGTAAATATATATTTTATGTATGCACAGGGAAAAAAACCAGAGAGCACATAAAACAGAAAGACTTTCCCAGAAGGCTGTGGAACCAGAGCACATAGGATCCAGATCCCTAGGACAGAAAGTACGGGAGAAACCCATGACCCTTCAGACCCTGGGCTGGGGGAACCACTCATGGAAGCCGCTATAAGGAGACCCCCAAACTGGACACTGCCAAGCCCTGCCACTCACGGCCTAATGCCCTGATTCAGCCCATGGCAGTGACCCCATCAAACAAGCTCCATGTGGGCCAATAGTCAGGAAAGATATGGGCATCCAGTGGTAGAGATTTGATTCTGAGGTTGTAGGGTTGTTGCCTATTGCTTGCTCCCATCTGGCTGGTATTATTCACCAGAAGCAAGGACTTGCGTGACGTTCATCCCTCAGCACCAGAGGCTTCACCCAATCCATTGGAAGGGCACATCCCAGGCCTGCCCAGTACACCCACTGACCTAGCTGAGTCCCCTAAGCTAAAGAAAGAGAAAGAAGCTAACACTGCTCAAATCAAACCACATTGTCTGAGTGCTGACTATGTGCCAAGACAGAGTTGTGCATGTAACACAAGGGGAGGGATCTGTTTCATTATGAGGGCTCTAAGGCAGGATTCTTTTCCCTAGGAAGACTCTGGAATTTTCCTCTTCTCACTGTGACTGCATACCCCATCTCAGTCCCCCTACATCAGAGAGAGATGTAGTAGAAGCTAACATCTCTGATTTGTGCCCAGATTATATGATTTGTGGTTAAAGTCATTATTTTCTAAGTCTATGTTTTTTGTTAAATGATGAAAGGCTTTTGTCCTTACCCAATCTTTCAGTACTTTCAAGTTATTTGGAGAGTTTGAGTACTTGGAGTTTTTTGGTTTGGCTTTGTTACATTGCTTGAGGGCACCAAATCAAACACCATGGCTCCCCAGAAGAGGAGTTGGCTGCATTACTTTGGGTTCATTTCCTCATCAATATTTTCATCATTAGGCAGGGGTAGCCAAGGAGCTAATATCTTTGCTCGTTTTCATGATGCTTTTCCTGATGAAAATCTTCTGATTTTCATCTCACACGTGATCTTATCTTTGCTGCACCTGCTGGCTCTCAAAAGTGCAGCACGACCAACTGCAAGTTTTCCATTATCACCCCCGCCTCCAGACTGTGAAGCAATCTTGTCAACCTGTTCTCTGGGCATTTATCCTCAAAGAGTCTGTCTGTCAGGTCCCAGCAGCAAGAGATGGCACAATCACATAGGAGAATTTAGGTAAGTTCAGTGGAGCATTTGTTTGCAAAGGGGACAGGGTTACAAGAAACCAATAGGGAGTAGTGACACACCCCAGAGCTGGCAAGAGTGAGAAGCCACCACTGTCCCTTCGTCATGAAGGGGCCTGGTGAAGGAGTGGTCACTAGAACCCAGAAAAAGGGTTGAGGTTCTGCTTCCACTAACTCTACCTGTAGCTGCATGACACAGCATCTATGGGCTATGATAGAGGAAGGACTCACAAGCAACCCGTGGTCTGTCACAGAGGGATTGTGTGAATAAATTCCACCATTCCACTCTTCCCTTGCTCCACAACTCCCACAGTGCTTCTCTGGCCAATACCCACTGAAAGCCAGAAGATGTGGGGGCTTTTAAGCAGCTCAGAACAGGGCCCCAGAACAGGATAGAGGGTGGATCTGCCTACATTCAACCCCCCAGAGAACCGTCCGTAGAATCCTATGGCCTGTTCTTCCTCTCATGTCTTTATTTCAAAGTCCTAAAGTCACATACCATTCTATTCACAGCAGGATCCTCAACTCTTCCTCTTCAAGGACAGAAGGAAAAGGAAAAGGTCATATCACTGAGGCTTATATAGTCTCAGCCTTTGCTAACATAGTTTTCAGTACAGGAGAGGTAACAGTGCCAAGAAGGCTATTATTGTGATTGACTTCTACATGGGAGGCAAGAAGGGCTACTTTTTTAAGGTAAACCCCTCAAGAGGCAGAATTCTTGACCTAGGTGACAGAGGCCACCAAGGGGCCTGGAGCCAGAAAAACATCTTTTGACCACTCAGTAACAACTAACTCCTAACACTCCCACCATTCCATCACAGAGGGAGTACCCACTCCCATGCCAGGAAATATAGGGTGACACTAATCAAAGTTCATCCAACAGCTTTGGGAGAACAAAGTGTTTGACATCTCTTCTGCCTTGTGTTTTGCCCTCTTTGTCCAGCAGTTTCTCTACTCCCTCACTGCCTCGTCTGCATCTGAGAGAACTGCTTACCTCAGGTCTTCTCACTACACTTGCTCTAACCTTCAGGAAATATTATTCTAATCATTTGCCAAAGGAACCTACAAAATACCCAGCACTTTGGGGGGCTTTTGTGTACGGGATATGAGTGGCTACTAATACTTGGGGGCCCAAAATGCAATAGTGGCCCATCTGTTAGAGTTGAGACTTAGCAGATGCCAAGTGACAGAGTCTTTGCCTACATCCATCTCACAGTGGGTCATTTGAGTCCTTGACCCCCATCCTGTTGTCAATTTCCTGGTCCCTGCGTGCATACTTGGAATGTACATACAGTATTCAGAAGCTGACAGACTCTCATAATGATTCTCTGATTTCTAAAGAAAGGTCCATTTTGGTAGAAAAGCCTGTGTAGCTGCCTCCCCACCTCTAGCCAAAATGGTAACTCAGAAACAATGCAACATCCTAGGTGAAATGGCTTAGTTTAGTGGCACCCTCAAAGACGTAAAGCATGTAGGAATGGTGCCCTGGAAAGCCAGATCTACCATGACAGCTGACAGTGGACTACCATAAACTATAGCCCAATTGCTACTGCTGTTTTGCATGTCATATCTTTGCAACCTAATAGGACAGCAACCTAAAGCAGCAGGCATGCTTGCCAAGGGGTAGAGCAGGAAGGTAGAATAGATGCTAGAGGAGAAAG